AAAACAAACAACAGCTGCATATTCTATTCAAGAGCAGGGCAACGGGGCATCCATACGAGCATAATATCACCGAGCAGGCCGTTCCTTGCACAGGCCTGTCGAGCATGATGTACGTAGCGGACCGGTATCTTCCCCACCAGAGCTCAGATTGTTTTGATATTTTTATTAACATGTCCTCAATCATAAATCACCCCGGGGAAGTGAGGCCGATCCCTCCTCTCTGCGCAGCATCAGATTACAGGTAGAAGACAAAGTTATCGGACACCTTGCCACGTGTCTTGCGTTTAAGCTACAACACTTCCTCCTGTGTTCGCGCATAAAGACTTAAATTCAGTTATACATTCAAACATTAGAATGGAGTGGAATACAATATACATAAAATTATGTAAATAGACTTTCCCATATAGTGGCTAGGATTCAAAAGCAGTCTTCTATCCTTCATCTGTTTTTATCGAAGCTCGAGACAAAACCAGTTGGACAGGCAGTAAGCACTTCTTGCAGTGTCAGGATTTGATGTCATATCGCTTTAAATAACCTCGGAGGACATTATTTTGTGTTATTGTGCGTCTTGTGATGTTATCTGCTCAAAAGGGGACGTATTAATGCATTGTTTAAGCACAATACCGTGTCCATTTGCATCACAATAAGACTCCACACTCCTCTTTTTTTTTTGGACTTCTCAGCAAGCCAACCACTGAATGCCCCCGACTCCGCTCAGGCCGAGCAACAGCCGAGCCGTTCTGCAGCCACACACATCTTCATGTCATACTAACTTGCCAGTGTGCGCAAAACTGTCAGACTCTCTTAAAGGCTCTAGATGCTATGTGTAATTCCTTTAACACAAGGCCATGCAGATATTCTTATCATTGTTGTAATGGCGTGCTCATGCCACCCTGCATCCAGCGAGCTTGCACAAGGCAGCTGGTAATTCATTTAATTTATTCAACTCGACCCGCAGTGGATCAGACCGCGCTACTGTTGTGTCGACGGCCAGAATACATGGCCGGACACTCAGCAGCCTTCGTCCTTCAGAGGTGATGTCAGGGTCATATGTGATTGTATCACAGGCTAGAAAAACATCATTCATGATTTCCTATCTGCACCAAGGTACTCTGATTTCATTCATAGGGAACACTTGGAGGAGAGAAAACTCTTCAAAACTGTGGTGATTTATGTAAAGCTGGAGAACTGATGAATCGCAGATAATCAGCTATTTTCCACTTTTAACTATGGCCTGTCTTGATGAAAGCCTTTTTTGCCATCATCAGAACAGAGATTGCCTTTGTTTGTTTAATATGTAAACACCATCTGTATTTCGTTTAATCCTCCTCAACAGGTAGTCAACTCTAAAGCAGATCCCCTGTCACTCACAACCTAGGACATTTGGCACTCTGACACGCTGATTCAAATCTGTGTGTTGGTGCTTCAAAGCAAATATCTTGTTCACATGTGGTCTGAAGCACTGTGGGTGTATTCAACTGAATCTTAGTCAGTGCAGAGCGGGAGATTTATCTCTCCTGATGGATCTGGCCACTCATTATGAGGTGGACTCGTCTAATGAGCTCTGATTTCACAAAGGCCTTGGCTTGAGTTCAATCTAATACGAGTGTGGGGCATTAATAAGTTGAGTCATGTGAGGAAGCTCAATACAAAATTTCATTTGGAAATGGAATTATTTTCATTTTTCAATTTGACAATACATGCATTTTACATACAAACTTTGTACTTTATAGATACACATTGCACATTTTTGACTCTAAAACATACTTAATCAGTGTCATAATGTGGGTGTAGTGATGGTCTGCTCATTACTGAACTGAATGACATGATTTCAATTATATGCAAACGTAAAAAATCATCATTTCTGTCTGAAAAGCAAATTCATCCTGCTCTTCACACCTTCAAAGGCAATGGGTGGTCAGTGTAAGGGTATAGGAAACGAATAATCACTTAAAGGACCAGTGTGTAGGATTTAGTGGCATCTAGCGGTTAAGTTTCAGAACTAACAGAACACCACTGGCATATGTATTTGACAACCTGGGAATGAGAACAGGCTGTGAAGTGTGTAGAGAAACTATGGCCGCGAAACTTGTGAAAAAAAGTGAAAAAGGCCCTATCTACAGCCAGCGTTTGGTTTGTTCATTCTGGCCTACTGTTTAAACATGGTGGTTTATCATGGTGGACTCCATGGAAGGCAACTCAAGGCATCTGTAGATTAAAATGGATCAATAAGGTAATAAAACCAATTATTTCTATATTCAGCTGATTATACACTAATAAAAATCTACCTATGAATATTATATTCCATGTCTGCCAATAGATCCTTCATCTTTAAAGTTATAATCCTTAAGATTTTCATAAAATTAAACCCTGTTCTTGATACTATTTATTGTCTAATTTTTTCAGCAATATCCATTCAGTCCATTTACATTCAGTAATTATCTATACAGTAAACTTCATTGTTAGTGGCGGAGTCCACCATCCCCATACTGTATTGAGATTGTCTACTTAAGCACAAGGGATTCACAAGAAATGATTCAGCATGTAATTCACTGTTTGTAACTGTATCTCCCTGATACCATCCTCACCGTTTACTGTTCACTACTTGCCTAACAGCATATTAAAGCTGCATTAAGTTACTGTTAAGGCAAACTGAACATCTCCTTTTACTGCTATCTCACATTAACTTGAGGGAAAAACATGGAGTGGCTTTAATTGTATGCAGTCACAAAAAAAAGCCATTTATTTCTCACTTTGATTTATTGGTTTGTTGCTTAGGCTGTAATATGTCAGAAAATAGTAAACAACTGTTCATCACAATCTCCCATTCTTATATTAACAATGGTGATGAGTAAACAGGCAACCTTTGGTAACATGTTCGCCATATCAGCTAGGTTATATAAGGTACCAGTGTTGTGTTTACAGGCAGCCAACAATATCCATGAATACTCCTTTAAATTATTCATTAATTATTAAATTTCTGTGGATTCATGTTCTGTTGAATGACCGAACGATTAATTGACTAATTGCTTCAGTGCTAGTGTTTTCTCATTGTGTTTTCTATTGTCTGCCTGCTACATTGTCATATGATCTGCTTGTTTGACCCAGTGATAAACAGTGACAACAATGAATCAGAACATAATGTGGTAATATGCTGATGGTGGGGGTATGTTCATATTATGGGCAGCTGTAGCTCAGGTGGTAGACCATTAATCATAGGAGTGTCGGCCCAATCCCCAGCTCCTCTTGTTCACATGTTCACAAGTGTCCTTGAGCAAGACACGGCACCCCAAACTGTTCCCAATGTGTGTATGTGTGGAAAAAATGCTACGGACATAAGCACCTGCTAAATAAAGGGCAGGTTTATAACACGATAGTCACATCTGACACCAGGAAACAGTAAGCTGTCAGGAATTCAAGGATGGAAGAGGATGCCATGTTTGCTAGGATTCAGAGAAGCATTTGTCTTGCAGGATAGTAACCTTTCAATCTGCCATTTGCGGCGATGCCCTGTCGTGGGTATAGATGTAAGAGAGCCCACTGGAGAGGTGCCCTCCCCACGTGCCCACCTGCCTCTTTTACCGCAGTCTGCTGTACCATGTGGAGCCCCAGATGTAGCCGGCAGAATAATCCACACTCATACACTCATGAAAGTGTCCATCTGGCCCCACACGCACACATTAAGCCCCCGGAACCATACAGGCATGGGGACACTGGGAAGCCTCTGCAGTCCTGTTGTTGTGGCATTTAACAGATACAGCAGTGTAAGATACCGCTGAACTTCTTCTATTCTGTCCATAGAAAGGCCCGAGTTGAGGTGGTGCACAGCTGAGAGTCACTTGGCTGTGACCGAGAGGTGAAATGGAGAGGGACTGAGCAGGATAAGCCTGCAGAGATCACTGTGAGCAGAGCAGAGCAGAGTGAGGAGGATCTTTTTACATTAGCTGTGCCTCAGGCGCATGCAGATAACAGCAAAGCTCCTGCATGGCAGGATAGGCACCAACATTACAGCCCTGCATCACAGCTGGCAATGTTTATCCAATCAAAATAAAAAACTTGTTTCATGGTTTTCTTTGTAGATCTGAAAATATCTTATGTATTTTCCTTTCACTAAATGCAGACAGTCCTAAAATGATTCAATGTAAACATTGGATTGAGGCCTGCCTCGGTTTTATTTGTTTCCATATATAAACATTTTTAAACAATAGAGTAGTTCAACAATTGTTTAACACAACATTCAGTTATTCAGTATAAGAATTTTATACAAGACCTATAGAGTATTCATTTACAGTACATTTATAGCCAACATTATTCATTAAAGTTGAATTCCTGTGAACGTTTATATCAAGTCTTCTGTGGTTCTTAATTAACTTAACTTACAGAAGTGATGGCAAAAAGTATGAAAGAATTTCCCAATCATGTTTAAAGTGACCTTCCAACCTTTGCATTAAGCTTTGATCGTTAGAAACATGTCATATTTTTGGAGATGGTCGATGCACCATTTCCTCATTTTTTCCTAGACGGAGGAAATGGATTTCAGTGTGCATTCCTGCTTCAATGATGTAAAATGGTTCATTAGAGGGGGTGAGACTACAAACACTTTTTTCTCGGTCAATAAGCACCAAACAAAATTTTTTTACTTTCGACTACATATATACCCAATTTCAATAAAGATTAATGTTTCGACGGGTGAAATTGCTTCTTAAAGGATTGAGGCTGGACATTATTCTCCTTATTTTTCATTATCGTCAATAAATCCCAAATTCCAGTACTTGATATATCTTATTCCTCTGTGCCGTAGAGCTCATTATCGCTTCCCCATCAGATTCAGCTGGACCCACTGTTACCCACTGGGTGACATGTTCCTTCATTTACAGGAACACAGCACTGTGTTCTTTGGTTATAATATGCGACTGAAAAAATTTTTAGTTTCACCACAAACTACAGTGCCCTGCTGTTTTACGAGAACTTCTGAGCTTAAAATAAAAGAAAGTTCAAACTGGTAAATGTGTTGTTACTAAGATTTACATCTTCAGTACCAGTGGGCTTGGGGCTGAGAGCCACAGATAGGACAGGGTAGTCAGTAGGTATTGAAAGCCAGACTGACACATTGTTTTTGGCTTTGGTCTTGTAGAATAGAATTGAATACAACTTTATTGTCCATCAGAATGGAAAATTGTCTTTGGCTCACCAAAATATAAAAGCAGCATGAGAACAGATAAAACCAATAACAACAAATGTGGAAACGCAGTACAAAAGTAAAAACTATGGATACAATACTTAAAGCATAAAACATTAAAACACAAAACACTGCGGAGCAAGATTTGTGGCTCTGTTTTTTTTAGTTTAAAATGCTGATTGCACTTAGATATTTTTCAACCTGGACTTTATTTTCCCATATTTTTGTGTCTAAGTGACTAATGGGGACAATAATTTTTGAAACTGGTCCAGTATTGAGCAAGAGCGCTGCAGCCGGCAATTGTGAAGCTGGCTGCAACATAATCCTTATAAGCAAATACACACCGTTAATGTACGTCCACTAAAAGTGCTTGTCTTTGCCACTGATAGGTTCAGATTGTTCTTAAAAATGTGACAACAGTATGTAAAAAGCCATACAGAGATACACCTTTTTGTTAAAGAGTAAGATCCTTTTTGTTTACCAAGAAGCAGCCGTTCTATCACTCTGTTCAAAGCTGCACTGACAAAATTTGACAACAGAAACTCAATAAAAATCACTAAAACCGCCTTGGTTTGTCTTTCCACTGTTCTAGCAATCACCAACTTTGCTTTGGGTCGAAATAAAGCCTTAATTGTTTCAACAGGCTCTGTTGTGAAATCCTACTTGGCACAAATGATCATTTCTTTAGTCTTATCAACATTGATCTTCAAATTGCTACTTTTGCCCCACGTCTGAAGAGTGTTTTGTTGGGCCAAATACTCAGCCACACAGGAAGTTTGTGGATGAACAATGGATGGAAGAGATGGTTATTGGTCAAGAGTCATTCAGCATTCTTTTGTTTGGCTTTTTGGCACAGGCTTAATGATTGTGAGCTTCCATGATTTAGGCACTATGCGTGTTTAACAAGTACTGGAATAACCCCACAGGAGGTGTGGCATTACATACTTACCAAAGGGTGAATAACAATGTGGTCCCATTTTCCAAGGGGTGGACGGCTAACAGCATTAGAGGTATCTGGGATGTTCCCAAAGCAAAGATCGGGTAAAGCAAATAGGACAGTCCGTATAGTGCTAAAGGATTTTTGTAAATACTCGTATTACAACGTCCAAGAATAAAAACAGGTTGAGCTGCAGAATAAGAGAGGCGTCAAGGTTACTCTCCACTAGCCTCTCTACGAGCATTAACATTTGGACCAGCCATGTTCTCGAGAATTACAGTGATTTGCCAAAATCTTGCATTGGAAAGTTTTACAAGAGATGGTTAAAATTTAGGTTTGCGGGTGCATTTTGCCATGCAAAAATGTTTTTCCCAGTTAGATACACAGGCTGCTTCCTATTGATTTAGCAGATTCATGTTGATCTCTGTCTGAGCTAATTGTTGTATAGCCTCTTTGGAGTTGTGTTATCTTTGATCCAAGGCTCTGTGAGACAGATAAGACTGTCATATTCAACTCTGGCTATGAGTTCATCCAGTTTATTGCTTACGGAGCACACATTGGACAGCATGATGACAGGTAAAGGGAATCTGCAGCTGCATCTTTATAATCATTATCTCAGGCCTCCTCCGGAACACAGTTTCCTTCATCTTATGGATCGTAGGTTACCGTAGTACCCCTGTTAACTTAGGCCCAAAACATCACTTAGTGTGAGTGTAGTTCCTAGTGCCTGGAAACTCTGGTTGGACAAGAGTTTCCAGGCAACAGGAACAGGAACGTTGTAAGGTAAAGAATAATTCACTCTCATGCTTAATTCGTTGAGATTCTGTGTTACATGTAGGTCGCTCCCAGTGAATGTATGATAATCCACGTAAAACAAGGACCATAAACTCAGCAAACAATCGTCAGGTGAGCACATGGTCGGCAGCAGAGCCGTGCCTCGAGGAACATGATCATCTTTTCATGAGATTAGCTGAGAATACAAAAAATATATAGAATAATGCTAGCCTTACCTTAACTTTAAAGGAATAGTTTTACATATCCAGCACATAACCCCCCGAATAAAAAAAAGGTGCTGCTAGGCAGACTTTGTTACCTTTTGACCAAGAAAGGCTAGCCTTTTCCCTTTGTTTCCAGGCTTCGTGCTAAGCTAAGCTAACCAGCTACTGGCTATAATAAGCAGTATATTTACCACACAGATATGCAAGTAGTTTGAGTTTTCTTATCCAACTCGCAAATAAGCGTATTTCCAGACCCATACCTTTTTGCCATGCACAACTCCTGTATGGAATATACACCTGAAAGCCATGAGTGAATATCTTATTGCTGCGTCCGATATGGACGCTCTGTCTGACACAAAGTATACAGCGGCACTGCATTCCCCTCAAAACAACAGCAGATGCTAATTCAAAGCTGTTATATATATGAACATAATCCATAGACGATATGATGGTAATATAACATGAGTACTACTTGTTAGCACTTTCTTTATCTGTATGATAATGGTTTAGGTTTTAAGAACAACGGTAGTGTCTCACTGGGAAGCTTTACTCTCATTTCCGAGGCAGCAGCGGGACAGACGTTGCTCTCGCCCCCGTCCTCGTCACCACTTCACAGGCTATTCAATTAGCAGAAGAAGCATGGGAGATGGAGCCATAATGGAGCTGATGAGATGCACAAAGACAGGTGACACTAATCAGAGCGGCGCCCCATTGTCTCTGTGTGGACATCATTAAGGAAAGAGAGTGATTTCAGGCTCTTTTTTTTCTGAACCTGAACACACTCATGCAAGCTGCGTGCATTCTCTTCATGGCGATCAATTTGCAATATGTGAGAATATATCCAGTGAATGAAGGGTCTGACAGAGAGGAAAACAAGAATATTTGACACCTGAAAAATAGGTTTTAAAGTGCAACATTTCATAAAAGCTACATTGATAAACTGATGTAATATCTTAAATGGCTGTTAGAAACATCTAATACCCAAAGGATGAACTCCTTCTGTTAGTGGTTCAGAAAAGACTGAGACGTACACTCTTAAACACATCCGCTTTCCCTTCGTCCACTTGACTGGGTGAGGCCGCTGATGAAGCGTGACCTGCCGCAGCTGAAGCAGCCTCAGAGCGATCCCGACGGCCCGGGCACGTTCTGTCCTCTTCAGAGCCTCTGGCCTGGACTGTGAAGGAGCTCTGCTCAGCCTGCCGGTAACGACTGCTGAGGTAGCTGGACAGACACCTGGGAAAACACCACCGAAGTACAAAGATTAGGAAAGAACAGACTGTGTGACTGCTTCATCCCACATATTTCTGTCATGCAGGTCCAATTAGCAACATTCACACTCATCCCAAATAGCTCTGTTAGTATAATAACATAATCCTAATCTCATTATTAAGTCCCCCTCCTCCTATTACCCGAGTCTTTAGAGTATGTGGGAAACTCCTGCAGAATCCAGGCTGCTGTTTGGCCTCCTAATATGACCTAAACATACAGACCGGTAAGGATAAGAACCTGCAACAATGTAGTAAAAGTATACATTTTATTCAACCCTATACCTATATTTCTATCTTACATTCACAGGTAACATTTTTTCTAGTCCAGGATGCATGACTTCTGCAGAGAAGTCATACAGACCAGGTGAATGTGGACAGTTGTGCAGGTAGAACTTCACAAAGTTCTCCACATAGCAGCAAGGGTCCGAATGGTGTTAATTTTGTCATCTGCCCGTGTCTGTGAGGACCGCCCAGGTGCAGCCCAAAATGTATGACTGCCTACCTACTTACGCAGACACCTAATAATACGTATAAACTGACCCGCACATCTATCAGGACCTTTAAGGCTGCTAGCACTTTGTTTAAAGCTGCTTTAATTTATATTTTTATTATAACAATGGATGAAATGTAAAGGTTTGTCTTGTAGTGACGAACCAAACAGGGAATTTTCTCCAGATTCTGCAGTTCTCCTTAATGTTTCAGCATCTTCCAGCTATTTATTTTCATTCTTACCTTTCAGTTTAGCCCACTGTTTGCAGTCTTTATGCTAAGCTAGGCTAAATGTCTCCTAGCTGTAGTTTCTTATTTAATGAACAGATATGAGAGTGCTATCACTCCTTTCATCTATTTTCCCAAAATGTCAAACTACTACTACTAAATATTGAACTGACATTGTTTTAATTGTCTCATCTCTTGCTTCAAGGGTTTTAAAATATATAATCGCTTATAGGCCGCAACCATTCCCTAACTTACCTAAACATAATAAGTTGCTGGGAGCACATATAGTAGGAAATGAATGATGAATGAATGAACATTTTGCAGGGACAGTGAACAGACTTTTGCAGATATTTTTCTTTTTTACATTTATAAAAACATAACTTGACACATAACACATTTGCTGATGTAAATGTGTTGTATATGGACGTCTTCTTAGGAGACAGGGTTGTTACAGTATCTAACTGTCTGGTGACTGGCCAAGTACCTCTACCAAGGCACACTGTGGGCAATGTTCAAGAAGTAACGAGCACATGTGCATACATTTTGTTCTACAATAAAACTTTTATCCCTAAAACACAAATGATAAAACTAAACAAAAACATTGACGCCTTCCAAAAGGCATAGTGTGGTACTTTGTTCTCTCATCTGCTATCACATAAGACAAATATGCATGTTTGAGTCTTGCGGGGGTGCTGAGTGCTATCATGTGATTCTTCATGTTGGTGCATACTATCACAGCAATGACTTAGTTATCATGAGGTTCATTTGACTGATGTAGGAGCTAATCATGATGGCCTGACTCCGAGGTGGTTGGACAGCCTCATACCATATCATTTCCTACAATCAGCAGCCACTTAATATCAAGACACACACCTTCCAGTACTGCCTGGAAACCTGATGGAGGACCTGAGGAATCAAGACTGATGCTCATTATTTCTACCTATACTTTAATAATACATTTTAATTCAACTTTTAAGTCAACGTTTAACTTTTTTAGAAACTGTTTGGTAGAAAGTAATACACTGGACGGCAAACACAAAATCCCTCTCCCAGCAGATTGACTGAACACATAACCTCAGTCCACATAGTAATTGGCTGCTGAGGCAAATCGATGTCTCAGATCAGAATTGAAGCATTCTGCTTGTTTACAACATCTATCATTTGTTCTTATCAAGTGTGATCAGAGCAATTTTCCCTCCCTTAATATAGGTTTGATGGGACAAAGAAAAGCTCAATTCTCAGAGAATTGGAAAACACATTTCTTGTGCTTCGTGGTAACTAAACTGTCAACAGATAAGAGAGTCCATAGTATCAACTCCTGGGTAATTCATCTCACAATTGTGCTGCTGTGTTTTCCTTAGGAACAGCTTGGAAATATGGTTTGAGGCCTTTGCTCAAATGTCACAGCAAATGCTTCGTCCAAATGCTCACACAATGGAAAATGTAAAGCACAATGCAAATACTTTTACTTTTATTTTACTGCTCTGCTCTCTCTGGGACTCAATTCTCTTAGCTTATGTGTAGTTGCTACATCAAAAAAAGCACATTTGTACCCTCGTGTACACTTATATCTGCAAAAGGGCGATGAGCTACCCGTCCTCAGGCAGCTATACAAACCGCTGTAGACAGTAGCGTGAGGTGAGAGAGCAGTGTAGGCCACTTTGTATCATGTCAGCGCTAGCGGTTAGACGCCATCTCCACAGTGTCCCTTGTCACCAATCACATCCTTTTAAACCACCCAGGGAGCTTGACACCCCCCTCACACACACACACACACATATACACACACACCCTTATCTGTCAATGCTGCTTAAATAATGTAATTAATGACTTAATTAACATTTCCATAATCTATTTTAATAAATCTAACACGGCATAATGAGAGTTTCTAACCTCCAGGCAATGGCATATAAAAATTCACAGTGCAGAGCTGCGTGGTCAGGGCACTGTCGCAGCGCCCCAACTCTCACCATGACAGTAAAGGAAGGAGAGGGTGCATATTGTGTGACAGCCTTCTGAAAGGCAGTTCAAGCCTGACAAATGCCATGTGACTTTGTGAATGTGTCCAATAACAGACCTGCAGCGCGAGGAGGAGGCAAAAAAGATGATTTTGGAGTTTTAAAATGTCGAAAAGAAGCCAGAGTGCGACAGAATTGGACTGAAATGAGAAGGACTGATTCGAAAGAAGTTTGCGAGTAGTCTGTGATGCTCCTTTCACATTAATTTGTAGCTTTTAGCACTTGACCCCAAAGCTGCTGTGTTCTCTTTTCTTTTTTGCTTCTACTGTCTAATGATAAAATGACTTTAACAGCAGTACAGTTTACTTTAGTTTTTAACTAAAGAAAGACACAACACTGAACAGAAACATACTAATTATTGTTTACAATTAGTCTGACTTTATTCAGTATTTTTCTTATTGTCAGCAAATTCAGTGAAGCCCATTGGTCAATTGTTTAAAATGGCTCCCAAAAAAGGCTCACTAAGATTTCAGTGAAAACAGCTGGGCACTGTAGTTTTTAGCAAACGTTAGTTAAACAGGAGGAAATAATGCATTTGTTGGGGACTATTTTCATCTGTACATATTTGGTGCTGTGGTGAGTATTTACAACAGCAGTATGTGGGACTGAGTCAAAATAAACTACAGTGCAACAGTGTGGTTCATTGATGTGTTTTTAATAACAATGGGGTTCTGTGGCACAGAGGGATAGGATATATTAGGCTTTGTTTGTTGGTTTTGGTCTTTTCGTGGGATTTGTCAACAATAAAAAAAAATGAATTTTAGGTACATTATCCCTAAAAAGAGGGAGATAAAAAGCATTACACTAATTGACAAATTACCATAACTTCTCATTACTATGTCTACTAACATATTTCATCAAATGTATTTAGAAGTGGAGGATAAAGACAAAAGTTGAATATTTAAATGCTTTGCAAACTAAACAAAAGCATTGGCATGGCAACTGACAACAGGTACCAAAGACGGGATCAGTCACTGGGAAGGTAATAAAATACCTGCTAATAACTTACATTTTAGTCAGTGTAAATCAACACATAGGTAATAATAAAAGGTCCCTCTGAACTGTTTACTCGTTTATCTTTGTCTCATCCCTGTTGCAAAGACTAACAGGCCATGTGGTGGGCGAGGGATGAGGGGGTTGCTCCTTACAAGGACTTCCACCCTAGGGGTGAAGAGTGACTGAGATGCACCCTGACAGGGGGCAGCAGGAGGCTGGCACATCTCAGGCAGCACAAGCACCATGGGGCACGGGTCTGTGAGGCCCACCAATCCTAATAAGGGCAACCACCAATCATCCTCCTGTACCAGTAATAATGTAAGCATCCAGTGGCAGAAAACCTGTTTGGTGCAGTGGGATGCCTCCCCTGTTGTATGTTGCATGCTAAGTAGACAGGTATTGTTTATGTACAGTATATAATGGTTGTTTCTGTTCCATATAACATACAGTACCTATAATCTAAGGAATGCTTTGCGTGTATTCATTTAGGATTTGGGCTTTGAAGCTTCAAAACAACATAAATATGTAATGTTAAGCTATTCTGAATGATTCATGCACATTAACAAAGTGTTACTGTTTTAACAGTATAACTCTTAGCATGACAACATATTTGAACCTCGTTCAGCTCAAACAATGAACAAATACCTGCAGCCGAGATCTGCCAAGAATGTAGCTCGTCTGAAGCTGCTTCGTGTGTTGTAAACAAACCAATTTCCTGTCATAAAATTACAGCTCATTACTAGCGTGGATAAGGGCTTCAACAACATAATGATGCAGAAGCACATTACCAGTGCAACCATATTTATTAATTACCAGTTCACTAGCCACATTCCTTGCAAATGCATCTAATGGGGAGAAAAAAAAGTTACGAGCCTTGTTGAGTTAATTACAAACAGCCTCTTATTTTAGTTAAGACAAATACTGGAGGAAGGACAGATGTAGAACACCAAGTTTTAATTTGGCTACTGGCACGAAAAGCAGTTTATGGTGATTGGGGGGTTACATTACTTCTACTACTACCATCATACTTTACAATGAAATGTATTAAGCAGGGGAGTTTGTTGAAATGCCAGCATTCAGCTGATTAAGGTCATTCAGGAAAGTCACATTAAAAGTGTGGTTTTATTTTCAAACATACTATTAGGGCTGTTATTTCTCTTTTTTCTAAGTAATCCAGTAAGTATTTTTTAATAATCTGCAGCCTGATTGAATTACTGCTTTAGGCAATTACAGATTACATAAAATGTATTTGTAATCTGATTACAGTATCAGCCATATGTTGCTTTCTAATCACAGAGTAGATATTGTTTATGCCAGGAATCTAATGCATTATTTACAAGCTAGATGTTGATAAAAACAGACTGTTCATTTACTAATGGTTTACAGTACCGCAGGCATCATTCCAATTAGCAATATCAAAATGGGAAAGAAGACTAAGTGAAAACAAGAGAGGTGGGGTGGTGTTGGGGGTCGGACAACAGCCTGTTTTCAGAGACGATTATTTGGATGACGCTGACACTTACCGCTTCTTGTTTTGAAACTCACATAAAAATGAAATGTTACTTGAAAATATTGTTTGTATTTGGCAGATGAAAACACATCGAAGACCAGACTACAACCAGAGTGGAGAGACCGTCACCATCATTTTAATCATTAATATTCGAACTGTGTTTGGCGTGTTGTGCGAAGTTTAGACCAAGGGCACCTCTAATCTAAAAATGTACAGATATGGGGGTTAATAAATACAGAGTAAAAAATAAAATACTCACTTGATCAGTAGGATCTCTGTCAGCAGGCCAAAAGAGACTGCTGCCAATTTAAAGGTGCTGGGAGGAGGAGGTTTAGTGAAGGCAGTCATCATGCAGTGAACAACATAAGGCACCAGACCCAGCAGAACAAACGCAGTGATCAGCACAAGCCACGTCTGCCACCGGAAGCTCACTGAGCGCCACGGAGACCTCCTCTGGAGCTGGTACTGGACAAGAGAAAGAGCAAAGCAAGACCAATCACCACACAAGCACACTAAGCACTGAAAAACCTCAACATTCATCAAAATGGCTCCAGTCTTAGATGCATAAAATATAATAAAAGATCTAAAGCCACAAAAAGGGTTTTAGTAACATTACACTGTGGCTCGATGGATAGCACTGCAGCCGGTCGGTCCACCCCTTCTGTCCAGACTGAAATATCTAAAAATGGTGGTTGCCTTACTTTATTTAGCGCCATCATCACTCAAAATTTCTCATTTTAATTGCTTTAGTTTATGACCAAATACCTACAAAACAAATGACATTCCTATCATCCCCAATTAGCAAATGTTAGCATATTAACATTCTAAACTAAGACAGGGACCATTCAATGCCAAACATCCACATCGCTGTATGACGATGACAACTGTTGCTAATTTTAGCATGTCAGCATGCTGATTAGGCCTGAGAGATATGGTCTGATAAAACCGATTTAAGATTTTAGTCTTATTTCTCTTAAAAACAAACTACAAAAGACACCATTTTGGCATCTTTGGCAATGTGAAACAAAATCATATAGGATACAATGGGAAAATGATTCTCCACGTTCTGTCCTGTCAACACACATAACATTTGTAACGTTTCAGCCACTTTTTGCAACGTTTTAAAACCTAAATTTAAATGAATCAATTAGGTCTAAACACAGTTCTTCTTTGCTATTGGTGGAGCCTGTGACATCAAAGTTCCCCTGAGTTGATTTACACATGGAGAGAAGATGTGAATTTGCTCCTGTGTGACCATGCCCTCACGCTGATTATCAGACTGTGTGACCCATCCTTTCACTTCAGACATTTAGTTTGACGTTGTACTTATGTTTGCTGATTTATGGTTAGGAATGGGGGCTGTTTTGTTTTTATTTTGCTGTATCCGCTATGTCGACACCGTTTTCAAAGGCAGAAGAAATAACGGTTAAAGTACTGTTATTTCTGTAAATTACACCAACCTGTACGGCTGTGTCAATCTCATCCAGGCTTGTTGTGATTATTTTCGGATGTTAGTTTTAATGGATGTAGCTCTAGGTACCTACCTATGTAGGAAGATGACTTAACCATTCTTAAGACTATTTCTCCAGCTGGCTGAAATAGCCATTAATGGGCACAACACCTGACTTATTTAAATCACTGAACAAGTAGGAGATGTTAGCAGCGATTTAGAGGTCTGGAGCCAGCAGACTCTTGTTAAAATCTTTACCAACTGTAAAAGGATTTGGCCTAATTATTGTCTAACTTTGGCAATGTTCAGGGATAGCACATTAAATCATTTCCTACTGGTTTAAGACAAGATTTTTGCACCCTAAAACCCTAAAATTACAAGATAATGTGCCATGACTGGTGGTGGTGACCTGCTGTTTGACACAACTATATAGAGGCCATTAGGTTTTACATTATGTAGTTTTTTTCCAGCTTTAAACAACAATATACACTGAGCAACAGTGGAGTAAAACAGGACACGTTTTCCCCATATAGTAAATCCAAGTAATTGTAGTGTGACCCCATAATGGAGTAAACAAACCCCTATTGTTGGAATAAACTCAATAATGCAACCTCACACCTGTTCTGTACATGCAGTCTTTCTTTGTACCTCTGGCTTGGCACTAAAACTGTATAAACGACTTAAACAGTCAACCATAAATAAAAAACCAACAACGTAAATACTCACACAGGCACATACATAAAAACACTGAAGCACGCATGCAGTCATTAAGGCAGCGTGCAAACACTGCCTTAAATCCTCGCCAAATATCGCCTTGCTCTGGAGACAAACCAAACCACTTGAACAGCGTTTGATTAGTGTCTGGAATTCATCTGCAAATGCACACTTGCCTTGTCCTCTTTCATGGCTGCTATTCATTAATTAGATTCTTTGTGCAACTGAGCTATCCTCAATGTTTAAGGTTACATCAGGCCCCAGTAAGTGGCTGCCTGATAACAGAATGCATCCATCTTCATTACTCAGCCTTTTCTGTCTAGGCTTGCTCCTCCACAAGTGAGCTATGTCAGTAGGTTCTAAGGAACTGATACATTTCATTGCATTCAGATCCTGAACTTTTGCCTCCTTTGATTTTGGTCGCTCTGATTAAATTACTGGGTTGTGGTTTCTACTCATATCGGGTTCTTTTGTGGTGATTTTTCCTTCCCATGATGGAACAGCGGTGCAGCCAAATGCAAACCAAACACCTTTTTGTGTTTTTAGATTACAGACTCTTGTTATAAATGCATAGTAAGGGTCGTCAGACAAACATTACAGCCAAATATTAATGTCACATTCCATCCTATCCTACTGGGTCAATTGGGTTTGAGCCATTGTAGTCAGTAAAATAGCTTCTTTTTCAAACGAATGTAGTCTTTTTAGAAAAAAATGTTTCAAACATTCTGGTTGATTTTAGTATTACTCTTGACTAGGGCTGAAATGATTCTGAAAAATGACAAACAAATCACTGATGCTGGTAGAGCTGAGCTAGAGTCCTTGCTGCAATGGCTGTGGGTTCAAATCTGACCTGTGGCCCTTTGCTTCATGTCATCCCCTCTCTCTCTACCCCCTTTCTGTTCTATCTTTAGCAGTCCTTTCTAATAAATGGAAAAAGCTCCCAAAAAAAAAGGGGGTGAAGTGAGGGGTGAAAAGAAAGGCCAGAGAAAATGACAGAAGTTATCCAAAGTTTGGAATAATTTGAAGCTGAAACAAAATGAAAACTATGTACAGTATTTCTATTGTAAAACCAAACTAGCCTACTATGACGTAAAAGCTTCACTGTGTAAAAGCTAGCTAGTTAGCAGCTACAACTCACTATTCCGCCGCAGAAAAATATCACACGAGAAAACGAGATCGATCATCTGATCACGTGCAGTTTGTAGCTCCGCAGCTCTGAAACGTATTTGGTAGACCTCCGATTTAGGGAATCTTAAATCTTTAACCTGACTCATAGCTTCTACTAGCTAACTGTTCACTTGACAATCTCATTTTCTCTTTTCTATAATGACTTTAATAAAGCAAAAGTATTTATTATGTGATTACTTGTTTAATCAATGGAAGAATTGGTATACTTGATTAATAAAATAATCGATGGCTGCAGCCTACTCTTGACAAGCTGAAGGTGCAGATCAGGTTCACAGTCAGGTCATTACATTTAAAAAGATGATCACATTTAAGTTTTATCAACTGAATTATTACATTAATATATACAGAATAAATCAAAAGCTAATGTTGAATTTGGTATATTATTTTGGCATTTGGTTTCATATTGAAAACCAGTTTCTTTTATGTCTCTGCTGGTGCAAAGGCTGTGAGAGAGAAAGAGAAAAAACTAAGCATATTCCATCCTTTTTGCCAAAGAAAGCTCAGACATTCAGATAAATGTCTTCACAAACCAAAACACGTGTTTTCAATCTTAGAGGAAATGTGAATAGACTGAACTCCCTAGGTAACAACACAGTGAATGTGTTGCCACACAGTGAAGGCTTTTTTTGCTATTTAAGAATGGACCTTAATAGCACAAGCTATTAAAAATGGTACTAAATGTGGTGGTCAGTCCTCAATTTTTGGACGACTGGAAGCAATTCAGCACATTTTAGTGACAATATTGAAACTGGCTTTTAAATTAAGCTGTTAGTGTCCCATCCATCAGTGGTACCTCAGCTTTTAGTCATATCAAGGCCAAGCCAGTTTGAATCCGGTTAAAAGCAGCTGAGTATGCCTATTGTATTGCCTCAGCCAAATGAAGTATCTGCGAAGAAGCTGAAACTAACCATCACGTCTGTCCTGTGTCCATGCGACTGCATGGAATCTATGCAGGTTTTTAGCATTTTGGAGGCTAGTGGTCACAAGGAAAAGGAGACACAATAGTCAATATGTTTACTGAAGGAAACCATGATTAAAAACACATTATATGAGGATATGTATCACAGTCCTGGCAGACCTACCTGCCCCTTTCTGGTAAGGAAAACTGTCTCATCAGAAATTACGTTTCCTCCTAAATCTTAAATTCAAATAACACGTGGTAATCCAAACACTGGACTGAGAAGGAACCTATAACTTAAAAAGTCAACACAAAATACATTAACCACTGGTTAAAAATCACAGTGTGTTAATTACATCCTGATGTTTTATGACTATGACCTTTAAACACTATTCCAATCAATCAATACAAGAGGGAAGCAGCCTATTGGGAATATTTAGATCCACAGATTCTGAAAGTAGGGCACTATTTATCCAAACACAATCATTATTAATAGCCGGACAGTCAACCCAAATACATTTTCTGCATATTTTCCACATTACCCCCTCTCCCTCCAGAGGAACAACCACAACACATTGTCCAGCACAGAGATAATTAATTAAGCAGAGCTGTCACAGTGGTACAGCAAAAGGGACAAAGGCACAAATACAATATTATCTTTGTATGGTCGTGGTCAGACATGTTTGACCTGCCATTAAAATGACTGTAACTGATATATTATCAGACACCAGCAATAATAACATACAAGTTTTATTGTAATATTTTCAGATCTAATACTCAGGGTGGAACAGCACGCTACGCAGACAGTTTACAGTCCTTTATTGAAGTTGACAAAAGCAGGCTTTAATTTTTTGCCCCTTTTGCCAGCTGAAATTACAGCTGTTGCTATCATTATCAGTTATAACTAGCTAGCTATTTAACGTTAACTGTATGAGATGAGTAGAAATTTAATCTCTGGCTCATTTTTTAATAGTTTTTGCTGACTCGTTTGAAGACACTGGAAAAAGGTCTGAAATATGCTTTTGATTGTTACATACAGTGCATGATATCATGCTAACTACGTGCTGTAATGAATTAAAAGACATAAAAGTCAGTCCAAATGCAACTAGAAAAAAACAACATCTCAGGTAAACTTAACACAATACAATAAAGAGACAGGCAAATATGCTAACATCCTTGTCCTTAAAAATACTTAAGTAGTAAGATAGATAGCAA